TCCTTTTAGCCCCCCAGTGGCACAGCGGTATGTCTGCGGACTTATACTGCTACAAACCGGGTTTCGATACCCGTGGTGGGCAGAGCACAGATAGCCCTTTGTGTAGCTTTGTGCTTAATAATAAACAACAACAACAACTATCCTTTTAAAATAATTAACTTTTAACACTCTTGTTATGAAAATTAAATAATCATTAAATATTAGATCCCTAAGTGAACTAAATAATAAATCTTACACTAAACAGTTGTTACGTCTCTATTTGTTAGTTAATTTTCGGTATAATTTCTTTCCGAAGAAACTTTAGCGATGCGAGTCCTTTCTTAAATAAAACTGATTTATTCTTTCTAAATACAACTTTGAAATACACTTAATTTCCACAGTCACGCTATAACAAACGCTATAACTCACTTCGTTCCAACTGAAATGTCCTGGACCGTGATAATGCCAAAGTCTGTTGGCATGCACCACCTTTGGATTACTTCGCCGACCACATTTTATCCGGAAAGTCACGTCTGAGAGACGATCCACTATGTCATATGGGCCTTCCCATGGAGAAGACAATTTAGGAGACTTCCCTTTGGTTTTCCTGGGATTATACAACCACACCTTGTCTCTTGGTACAAAGCTAACTTCAGTAGATCTCTTATCATAAGATAACTTCATCTAATCAGCAGACGTTTTCAAGTTTGAACACACTTGTTGGTGAATATCATCCATCCTTTCCGATAACACTTTCACAAACTCTTGACACATTTTCAGGCAACTCTTCATCAGGTGGGCATCCTGTTAACAGATCCACTGGCAACCGAAGTTCCCGACCAAGCATCAACTTTGCTGGAGTGTATCCAGTGGCTTCATGCTCTGCTGTCCTATAGGCCATCAACAATGGAGGGAGTAAAACATCCCAGTCATCTTGGTGGCTATTACAAAACTTTGCCAATTCCTGTCCTAGTGTCCAGTTGTACTTTTCTACCATCCCATTGGACTGTGGGTGGAGTGGCATTGTCCTGGTCTTTCGTATGCCAAACAACTTGCAGCATTCATGGAACACAGCTGATTCAAAGTTACGGCCTTGATCTGAATGCAGTTCGTATGGCATACCAAATCTGAAGAAGAAATCACTAATAGCCGAAGTTCCTGTATTTGGTATTGCATTATGCCTCAGACCACTTGGTGAAATAATCCATCACCACACCAATGTATTTGTTTACAGCACGAGATTGGGGCAAAGGACCAGCAATGTCAACGGCTACTCTTTCCATTGGTGTGCCAACTTGATATAACTTCATTGGAGCACGTCCCTTATGCTTGGGTCCCCCTTTAGCACAACATGTACTGCATGTCATGCACCATTCTTCCACATCTTGCCTCATACCTATCCAGTAAAATCTGTGTCGTAGGTGACTCAATGTTTTCTTAACTCCGAGACGTTGTCCTGTTAAAGTATCATGGGATTGACGCAGCACCACTTCCCGTAACTTTCTCGGTATAACCGTTTGACAGGTCGTCACTTTCCCATCTCTGGAGAAGAATACCATCTTCAAGTTTCAACTGGTCCCATTGTGCCCAATAGTGCTTTGTCACAGGGCTTAGACTAGACACCTTCTCCCAGGGCGCAAACACTTGCTTTTAGAAAATCAATTATTGGCTTCAAATCTTGGTCTTTCTCCTGCTCTGATTGAATATCAATACATGGTTCCATTTCACCATCATCAACTCCTTCATTCACTTTGATTTAAGCTTGATGGCACCTAATTAGTTCAACCTCTCTTTTAACAGTTACCGGAACTTGGCCTTTGTTGTTTCCAAACATCATTTTATCAAAATTAATTTCAAACTTCCTCGGTAGTAAGTAGTCCAACCCTAATATGCATTCGTCTTCAATGTCAGCCAAGTATACTTTGTGTCTGTCCTTTATGCCCATGAGCTCAATAGTTACCCACACTGGTCCCCAGAACCTTGCAGAATGTCCTGCCACACCACAGAGCTTCTGTATAGCTTCTGGTACTCCTTCGTGATCCAGCACCTTGATGCTCACAAGGGTTTGATGAGATGCAGAATCTATGACAAAGTTGCACTTTTGGCCATCCAGCTTTCCTGTCACATAGACACTATGTGTGCTTGGCATTTTACACTTAGCTGTTGGGACTTTCATGATGAGGGTTGGTGAGTGTCCCTCAACACCAATCACTACTGGTCTCCTTGAGGCTGACTTGTTGGTAATATTCTTCTTACACTGGCTCCTCATATGTCCTTACTTTCCACAGTTCCAACAACCTTTCTGGGTAACAGCCTTTCCTGCCATGGCATCTTCCCTGTGTTGAAGTTGCCAGCATTGAGCTCTCTTGTGCCCAGGTTTATTACAGTGCCAGCAAAGTCCCTCAAACTTCTCTGGCCTTGAATCCTGATGACTGTACCAACCTTGGTGCCTCTGTGCTGGACTTAACGTAGGATTCAAATTCAAGAGCTCTGGCCATTGCATCATGCATAGTAGAGGGATGTGCTTGCTTCACTTGTATTTTCAGTTGTGGACTGTCCAAGGCATCTACGAACTGATCCTTCAGCAACAACTTAAGGAGATCGGGTGGCGAAGCTGGGTAGGCCTTGTGTGCCATACTTTCCAAGTCCTGTGCCAGCTCTTGCAGGCTCTCCCCTTTAGCACGGACTCTCATCCTAAGCCTAGCCCTGTAGACTTCAAACTGATTTTGGGTTCTATACCTGAGTTCTAGAGCCGCTACCAGTGCTCTATAGTTGTGTCTGTTGGCTGCTGACAACTGTCCAAGTATTTCCAGTGGTTGTCCCTTCAAGCTCGTTGCTAGATATACTGCTTTCTGCTCCTCTGTCCATCCATTCATTTCTGCCAGGAGCTCAAATTGTGCTCTATATGCTTCCCATGGTGCCTTCCCATCGAATTACTGTGGCTTCCTTCGTACTGCTGATATTCATATCTGGGATGTGACTTCTAACAGGACTGAAGATGTCTGCATTAGGGTTTAGCTGCGGGGTCTAGAAGGGGCTTCCCATTGTCTGGGGCTGATTAAGTCGATGGTTAATGTATCCTTCTTGTGTAAAAGACAATAGATCATCCTTTAATGCATTTAATTCGCTTTGAAAACAAATGGAAAACATTAGTAAAACTTCTTGTTTCCTTTCTTGTTCCAGTTGCCACTGCTGTAGTCTCTCTTCTTGTTTATGTTCTTTCTCCTCCAATAGCTGTTGTAATATCTCTTCTTGTTTATTTTGTTGTTCGAGCTGCCACTGTTGCAGGTTTTCTTGCAACTGCTGTTGTCTCTCTTCTTGTTTCTTTTGCTGCTCTTGTATTGCTGCCATCAAGTCTTCTAAGCTGTAGTTTGATTTGCTGCTTCTCGTTTCCATTTTTTTTTATCCCACTCTGTTACACCAATTTGTTACGCCTCCGTTCGTTAGTTAATTTTCCGTAAAAATGCTTTCCGAAGAAACTTTAGCAATACAAGTCTTTTCTTAAATAAAACTGGTTTATTCTTTCTGAATACAACTTTGCAATACACTTAATTTTCATAGTCACGCTATAACAAACGCTATGATTCACAACCAACGCCTCACGTGCTCGACTCAACAATATGTCTCTCTCTGCCCGCAGTTCAATTACCCATTGTTGCCGTCACGTCTTGACCGTTTTATATGTACAAGAATACCGAAATCCAGTAACCTCCCGAGGCTTCATGAACGTTCTAGAGGCGCGTGACGTGTTACTAGAGTCACGTGACCTCCGCTGTCGTAACAAAACAAACAAACTGTTTGGAGAAATTACTGTAATTATAGTCTCGGACCGATAGTAATACTTTCTTCCGTAGTTATTCTAGTTGGGGAAATTACAATATTTATAGTTTCGGATCAATCGTAATACTTTCTTCCGTAGTTATTCTAGTTGGGGAAATTACAATATTTATAGTTTCGGATC